TATATCTAAATAATATAGTATTATAGAGTGTATAATTTTATTTTAAAACTAAATATACATTAAGAGAAACGAGAATCTCGTGGCTCAGTTTATTTCACTCGGTATAATTCCTGCACTGCAGACATTAAAATTCTTTTTTTGACTACGCTATTTACTCCCGCACGTATCCCTTGGCTTCGCACATAAAAATGCTCATAAAATTCATGCCACAGGCTTCCGGAAATCAAACTCATAGCTCTAAAGTTATTATTAATTCTTTGTATATCGATTAGCAATAGAAAAATACTGGAAATTCTGGAAATACTGGAAATACTGGAAATTGTTGAAGCTTGGATAAAGTTTATAGCAAAAGTATGTGGAATTTACTACACTGACGTATCATGCATAAAGAGACATGTCTGTACAAGATGAACACAAATGAGCATGACAAACCGGATTAGGGAAATGTAAACTCGTGGGATCTCTTCATAATGAAATTACACAAATAACGCATATAACGCACATATATATACATATTCTTTTTTTTTTAATTATGAGGCTAAATAATATTTATGTTATTACATATATATGATACGCTCCATTACAAGATGTAATTATTGTTTTTATGATGACACAACACTGTTTTGTTCGTTTGAAAGTTTAACGCGAGTATCAAAGATACAATATTTCGTTATATCTTATTATTTTCAATATATATACGTTGCTAATTTAATAAATTTTAACAAACAATTATTGTAGATAATTAACAGATAATTAATAGATATACGTAAATCCAAAAAAAAAATTCGGTATCTACGAATTGTTTAACATTTCTACCTTTCATCATATTTCTTTTCCATATCGTTCCACTTTTTGTAATAGTAAAATCACGCCGACGTGATGCGAAATTCTCGAGACGAGTGAAATGATGAAAAATGAGGAAAAAGAAAATCAAGCGCCGAAGTTATGCATCCGTGGGCTTATTTCTGTCGCGCCGCATAAACGCTGTGTGCGCGACCATGCAATCGTGTCCGTAACTCTTTCGCGTCGAACACAAAAGACTTTCCGCGTTATAATTTTCGCGCCCGATAGATTGACATCCTGCTTCTCCTTTTATCACCGTAGTTCGGCCTGAATGTAAAACGTGGCATGGTCGAGCAGTGACTGCGGAAAATCAACCGCGGGATTACGCTATCGCGGCCTATTATTTCCTGTTGTAATAAATACATGCTTGACAGCCGATAATTCCAAGAGTAACGAGAATTATGCGCAAATATTTAGAGCTCGCATGTCAAAAATTTTGATATTATCATTGTCAGTACTTCGACAACAGCGCGCGTCGAAATTTACGAAATATCGATAGACACCTTTTGTGTCTTGTTATCATTTAACTATTCCATTAAGATGATATTACTATCCACAAAATATTATTCCAGACGTTGCCGCTGCGTCTGCAATTTTTGCAAAGATTTTTATATTATGTTGCACCTGTATAGATACACACACGCGCGCGCGCGCGCACACATACACACACACACCCACAGAGAGAGAGAGAGAGAGAGAGAGAGAGAGAGAGAGAGAGAGAGAGGAGAGAGAGAGAGAGATGAACTGACAATATAAATAAGATTGCATCTGTAGAAAAATCCGGAAACACGTTTCGCGTATTTTTTAACATATACTACACACTAGATGTTTTTTATTGAGGCTATTTCTCTCTACGAAACATTACAAAATTTTTTGTATTTTCTTAATTACGTTTCATATTCACGCGCGCGCGCGTGTGTGTATGTATCTATACAGGTGCAACATAATATAAAAATCTTTGCAAAAATTGCAGACGCAGCGGCAACGTCTGGAATAATATTTTTGAAGAGAAGAACCTTATTTTGTGCTCCGCTATATTTTGTCGCTTTTAATTCTAATATAATATTAACGCGCAGTGAAAAACGTTTTGTACTTGTGTTAAAGCCAGTCCATTCAAGTTCTTATTAAAATTTTGTGTTTTTAACATATCCGAGTGTTAGTTTAACATAATGTGATTATGTTATTTGAATATTTTGTATTTTACATTAATATTCAACATTTGTTTAAATAATACAATTATAAATAAATGAACAAAAGAAAAATAATATTTTAAAAAATTATAATTAAATAATAATATTTAAAAAAAAAATAATATTTTTTAAATGTAAATTCTAACGTAAATGAATAAAATACAATACATTAATTTAACATATCATTAATTTTACTAATGAAATGTGCTTCCACAGTTTACTTACAAATTATATCAGTATTACTTTTTGTATTATCTTTTTTATATAATATTTGTGTTACTTTCTAACATATTCATCTTATGTTAAATTAACATATAAAATGAATCGTAAAACATGTGAAATATATCTTTATCACAAATTTTTCAATTGAGTACGTTTAATCGATATGCGCATTTTCGGATACTTTGAGAAAGAGAAATACCTGAAAAGTATATTTCTCTTTTTAATCTCCAGATACTTCTCTTGCGGAAATTATCTAGATATATTCATATCTATAAAGTGGCGTCTACAATGAGATTTTTGTATAAAACTTATGCCTTGTCGTAAGAAATTAATCAATCACAGTCGAATGTAAGAAAAATAATCGACTATGAATAGTCAATTTCTTACGGCTTAAGATTTATAAAGCTTAAATTTTATGCTTTAAAACCTCATTAGTCATTACAGACGCCGCTTATGGTCTGTAATTATCCTCAAG